CTAGGCACCGGAAGGGTGTTACAGCTGCACTATTTTTCTGATATATATTGCAAATCTCGGTTGTTTACCTGTCCTTGTCAGTAGGACCCGCTGAATAAACGATAGTTATCCATAACAGAGAGGGAGTTCCCTCATGAAGGGACCGGACATTATCGTGGTGTGACGGTTTGTATATCTCCATGACCCACTGGGTGCTGTCTATGCGACACCAGGTTAGTCAGTGTTTCGACGTCTGACGAACACAGTCTCCTGGTCCTCCAGGTTTGGGGTTGGAACATACGTGGCGATTTGTTCCGTAGAAATGGAATCGCATTTCCCGCCAAACAGCGCTGCCTTACAGTCAAGTGAACCGTATCCGGATGCTTTCATTGAGGACCCTAATCGTCCTTCTGTCCAGGTGTGGGCGCCCTGGCAGTATCCCAGCCCACGGACAACCGTGATTTGCACACTTACAAATAACCTCATGCTACACCGGCCGGGTCGCCTGACACCTCCGTTCTTTCTTTTCCATCCGCCTTCCTCTCACCACCCTATTAATAGCTCGCCTTGTAGGCCGGTCATTTAGGATTGATGACTCCTTTCATCGGTTTTGATAGCAACGCGTGTGCGTCCTCCGGTACTGATATCCTCAGGCAGTCCGAAATCAGTCTTCAAGCCCCGATATCCTGTCCATCTAATTGCTTTTGTTGTTCGCACTCTGAAACAAGCGGGTCAGCAAGCCGCTCTTACTCTGAGACATCAGTGTTTTGAACACTGATTTGTGCTGCCAGCGATGATGATGATGATGGTGATGAGTTAGATGTCTCCGATCCGTTGACTGGTCAGTAGAACCCGAGTTTATTCTGTGCATGTGTGTCGTTGGGAGAAAATAATGCCGTGTGCTCATCGTTTAACGGTGAACCAACAGCAGTCAAATTACGTTGTGTCAGACTGACAAGAAAGACTGAGGGATCCGTACTTCCACGGTTCCCCCCACCGTTCCTCCTACCTCGCTTCACCATACTGTGGATAATCGCGATCTGTTTGACCGGTTTTCTCATCTCTCGATAACACCGGCCTGTATAACTCCACTGCGGACAGGTACTAGTGTGTAACCGGGCATCTGAAAACATCTTCAGTTCACTCTGTCTTAGACTACGATTAGTCAAGTGACTCTCACTAGACTTATTCGTCTTATTGAACTCTGACGTCACCATCCGCAACCGCGTTGACTGTGAATTTGATGGTGAACGTCCAACTCTGCTCGAGTCTGACTTTCCTGGGACTTTCTCATGGGCAAATTTCCGTGTAGGCTACAATCCTCTCTCGCATAGCTACCCTTTTTCGCAGCCGGCAAGTTATTCTCCCTGAGACACGCATTCACCCGATTATCTTTTCTAATCCCTTGTCATCTTGGATGCATCCAGATGAAGCCGTAAGGCTGACGCCATATTGTGTGCTGACCTATGTCCAGATCTGTTGGTGAGACCACATGTCGGACTACACAAGATGTCTGTGAAATTCTCACTCTCATCAGCCACACATTGTTTCCGTACACACACACACACACGACATCGATCGGAATCAAACCGTTGGAGGTTTTGTGCATCTGGTTTTAATGACCACATTTCAACGACTATTTTCGAGAACGACACTCATTTGCAAATCAATTTGGTTTTCACGAGAGGGACTCAACTGAATCTCTCGTTTATGATATTCTACAACTGAATGTGCTGCACACAGGCCGCCTCATGATTCAGTTGGCACGATATTCGAGATATCGCCTACCTGATGAGCCCCAAGAAGGGCGAAACCGGTCGTGGGCTGTCGAGGAGTTTTCAGCAACCTTGTGAGTAGTTTCCTTTATGAAAATGACGACGATCCTTTTCGCTTCTGGACATCGTCCTTATTTGGTCAAGCCCTCTTCAAGCATAACTTGGTTACAAATGCTTCTTGTATAGTTTTTCGACGTGGCTTAGCGGTGTTGTCGGCCCCTTATTCACAGTGCTCTAAATCTTAACTTGTTGTCCAGCCGATGCATGATTCCCTAGCCTGACGTAGCCCGGACGGAACACTTTCATCCAAAGACAATTTCAAAAATGCTTTTCGGTAGATTGAGTAACACGCAAGTTGGAACTTGTCCTCAATGAGTCATGTAGAGCCTTGTGCTCATTGCCGGAATTCTCCCCAATAAAATTTCCAACTGGTTAAGGACCACTAAATTATCGTATTTTAACTTCCGCGGTGCACAGTTCTTGCGTTCTCCATACCCTCTAGAAAGTACACTTTTCTCCGTGGTCACCTGTATATCGTCTGTCGAAAAACAAACGTTTTTCTTAGTGTCGACCTCGCGCACTGTTCGCTAATTTTCCAACGCAGCCTATTGCTTTCTGCTTGTAAGTTTTGCTTTGTTTTGCTGTGATTCAACCGTTTCTGCCTTACTTTAATGAATAGAGGCTAAACCTCACCGCATCACCGTACTAATCTCCTCGTTCACGCGTTTGCCGTCACAACTTGTTTCGATGTTCACCTATCTATCTGGTAGATGATATTGCTCTAGCACAGTTCCATTCGTCAAACCCCGGTTGCACTGTGACTGTTTTAACTCGTGAATCGGTGGTGCCTGCAACGCCACACACACACACACAGACTGGCTTTATGATGCTCACATTCTTCTGCATTCGGTTGTAACTAGAGACTTTTGGTTTTTCGGGCGTGGTCAAGGAACTGTAGTCGTGTTGCGTGTGGTCCACCAAGTGACTCAATGCCCCGTATAGGTGTGATGCTGTAAACAGTCTCCTCATGTATTTTTTGGACCGTTTACGTCTTTTCACTGGGTTTTCACATGTGGTGTCCGATGTTAACGACGTGTCAGCCATTTTGTCCCACTCCCACGTACGTGCACGGTGCAGCCCTTCGCGTACCTAAACTAGGCATGGTAGGTTGAAGGGGGTCTTGCACTTTTTTCACTTACGAAATACCAGTAAACTATTCTGAAAGAAAAAAACACCGCAAGAGTTTTTGTGCGTCAATCGTCTGAGGTACAGCCACTCGCGAAGCAAGGCAGCACCGGGTCACGTGATGTTCATCTTTGTCTTTGATGATGGTCTGGTCTGATGACATCAGGTGATGTGAATCTCTACCATACTGACTGTTGGAACCCAAAGTGTAACATTCGGCTTTCTTTTCGGTTGGTGGTCAATGAATCATTGGGCTTTCAGAATTCCTAATCGCTTTTGATTGATTGTTTCCATTCTCCTTTTGTATTTGACTCTCTGAACTCCCCCCCCCCCTTAAACAATACTCACCTCCCAATTGTGATTCGATGCCTGTTTTCGTCCGTTCTACCCATTCATTCGTTTCCTATCTCGGCTTCAGAATCATGAGACGCCAATCCTGAACACTCCTGTGTCGGTCCAATCTAAAGGTGAGCTTGTCCTTCTATTGTCTGCGTGCAGTTTCAATTGAGTCTTCATTACTGGTTAGTTCTCCCGTATTTGTGCAGCTAGGCTGCAGTGCTTTTGCTGTGAGGGTGCTTTGTTGATGCCACATTCCAGAAGGAGAATAAATTGTGTGCACTATGATGTGATCACAATCACAAAAAGGTCTATAGTTGTTTCACATGAACTGCTGTCCTCGCGAAACTCGAGTCGTCTTCTCCTGGAAAGAAGTTAGCCAAACAACCAATCACATTCGAGGAGTATAGACCACAGCGTGACACAGATCGCAAACCGACCAGTCAAGTAATCCGAAAGCCACACCAACTGACCAATCATAACGAGAGATTCCAGATGCCCTTGGAATACCAACTAAGAGCAGGGAAAGTATCTGCACAACCGAGCACTGATGGTGTCTTGTCTCGACAAAAAGTTTATAAGCCGTATTCCGAGGATGGTTTGTCTGTCTTGGGTGGTTGTTGAGACGCTGACTCAACCACACTTTACTGTAACTGTCCGAAAGAACACTGGATCCCAACACCCTTTGGCTCGTGTCTCTCCCCTTGCCAGTATCGGCTTCTTGCGCACGGTTAAAAGACCTTTTACACTTTTATTGCCGTGCCTGATGATGGTCCTGTTGATCATGCCTTTGCAACTAGGTGTACAGAAACGCAAGTGTTTCATCACCCGAACTTATGTTCCGCTGAAGTGGAATGGTTGGATGTTGGTCCAAGTTCCCGTTGAATACGGATACGAGGAATGATCGGGGGGTCTTATTGAAGTTTCTGTTTGTGGGGTTTTCGAGTATTTGCATGTCACCTGTGAACACGTAGGAAGACAAGACTGCTAACTCATCAAGGTACGCGAGGAACAGCACTAGAATTACGACTCCGTATACTCAATGAGACAATCCGGAGAGAAACCGACCAACGCCACTGACGTGGATGAGCGCCATTTCTCTCATGTCTTGAACAAGGCGCAGGACAGATCATGAGAACCCCATCTTGGAGGGCTTACTGCATCGACAACACCCAAACTCTTGATAATCCCTTTCACACCCTTCCACCAAGTCCTACTTTTTCCAACTCGCGATCTCCGACTCTGTGAGGGAGGTACAGCGAACAACATTCGTCTCGGTAGACGGTGTTTCGGCACGCGTAGCACTTATCTATGTCAACACGGTTGATGAGGCTGGGTGTTTTCTGCAACTCAGTTACGTGCCGTAAAACCAGCTACCCGTTTTCCAATCACCTCGTTACGAATTCGTTGATACCGTTCAAAATCAACGCTTCTGAGTTAGCTGTGGTCACGTCATCTGTCCTCAGAGGTCGTGTCTCGCAACCATACAACAACACAGCCCTTACAGTAGCATAGTACACGCTACGCGACTCTTTTGACGCCACAAGTGATGCAAATTAGCGAACGTGATTCATACACTGGCTTCATCAGACGCTTCCCCCAAGAGCTCCTAGCGAGGAGTCCTTCACAACCTCCAGTGCTTCTTGAATTGAAAGGAGCACGTTCGGATTGCACGCTCTGAAACATGACTTTACAATTTGAAGATGCAATGCGCATGCCGAGGGGTGATATTATGGTGGCCAGTGTATTCAATAGCTTGCACTTCGTGCCATCGCAAGTTCTTTTCGTACGTTCCACAAGTTGGTCACTTCGAATTCGCTAGCTTCCTTAGTGTACCTCGTCTGTGAACCAAAGCATCTGCCTATAGTGACACGTATTTCCCCATTGTTGGGAACCTTGGGTAGCAACGCTGTGCTCACAGTGATAGATATCCGTCCCTTTTCGAGCGGTTTCGGGATTTCTACCAACCTCCGTCTATTTCGGTCTTGTAGATGGTGACAGCACCACTCGGTCGTCCAATCCAGATCACCGATCTTCTTCTCAAAATCGAATAACAATGGAGGCAAGTTCACTTTTTTTACTTTCTGGTTTGCCCATCATCTGTTATCCATGCGTAACTATGCTTCCCCTCTTTGTTCGAATGTGTAAATTTCAAGTATTTGTATGGCAAAGTGAGCCAACCGGAACGTTTGATCGCGGGACACGCTATGCTCGTTTTTCTTTTCCCAGGGCTACTATCACTACCCTAAGGACCACAAAAACAACAGCTTAGCTCTATTGATGGGAGCTAAAATTGACAGATACTGAGTTTTTCTAAGTTAGCCAAACGGACAGCCGACACAGGCAGGCTTATATGGTAAAGTGGTGTGGGAAACAGCCGATTGCTCCCAGCTTTTGTCGATCAGACACAGAAACTACGCTGAACAAAACTTTATGCATGGGGATGAATTTCCAAAGTGAGAAGAGTGCATACACCATTTCCCTCTTCACGGCACACTATTTATAAGGTCGTTCGACAGCTTACTGCAGGTTTCGATCTTTTCGGAGCTCATCAGCAACCTTATGAGTAGTATCTTATGTCAGGGACCATGTCGCGGCGTATCGTGCCAACTGGAACAGTGTGCAGCACATCCAGTTGGGAAGTATCATAAACGGAAGGCTCAGGCAGGTTTTCCATTGATACTAAAATAATTTGCAAATGGGTTTACTTCGCCAATCTTGATACTCGTTTATTTCTATTGTTATCGATCGCCGGCCTGCACAAGGTAGCCTCGCGGGGCTAAACGTCACTTGTCCAGTCATTTAGGTTGTCTTGGTCAAATCATTTCGAACATGCTTTCATCGGTTCCGAGATTACGGCAGTGAAGCATCGGTGTTGAACACTGATATCATGCTGTCGATGATGGTAATAATACAGCTCCAAGACGTTTTGTCGCCGTAGGTGTTCTAAACGATCCAGTTGGGATCCATTCTGTCTTACGGGCTTGGACGTTCTGTGTAACAGCTCTTTTAGCTCGGCTGTTTGTCATCCGATTGAACTTGTTTCATTCTGTCCATTTCCATTTTGCGTTCCCCCCTGATAGTTGACTGTGCGAACTTTCCGATTAGTATCAATCGGAACTTTGCTTTAGTTTCCAACGTTAACGTGTAAAGGGTATTTGAGACCGTTTCTCCTGTCTTAATTTCTTGTTCCATCTTCTATACGAGGGTGAGTCGTGTCAAAGCCACTTCGTATCCAATATAGCCTTTCACACCTCCATCTTTAGATAGCACTATTTACGAAAAGGAACGGTTCCCTTCGTATGAAAAAAAAAAAAAACAACTTATGCGAATGATGCTCACAAAAGATCGTTTTGGTTACTCTACTGGTCCACACTGGGCAATGTTTATCTCTGGACTGATCAGGTAGACCATGGTGTCTGCGACGGCCTTCACTTAACCGTGAATACGGAGTGAAATAGACATTCGTAGCTGACGTGGTCTCGCCGAGCCGCGTCGGACACGAATCAGTTCCACTACGATCTGAGCTGCGCTCCCGATTATATTGGTCTGTCCAGTGGATGTTCCCTCTAAAGGCGAACTATTGTGCCTGTGTGTGTGCACATATTGATGGGAATTAGCTGATACTCCATCGTTGGCGTAAGCCCCCAAGTTTGAGCAAACCTCGTTCCCACTTGAACAACAGTTTGTCACCCAGCAGGACCATAAAACTTTTCCAGTCTACGAAGCACTTGTGTCAAACAGAGAGGGCTGGATGACTTCTCTTCAGGGTGATGAGTTTGTCTGCACATGAGTCGTGAATCAGTGAAAATTCTGGCCCCACTGCAGCCAGAATCACGTGTCCCAGCTAGGTAAACCGTGGACCGTGTACAAAGTGACGTTCAGGTCACGTCCAAACTTCTCCGTTGCCTACTAGCGTTTATACGAGTGAGAAGGGTGAGGAGAGTCCGCTCACCGATGCCAAGCAACATACCTAGTCTAGAGTGGTGACTAGCTTGTTTCACGTCTCCGACCGCGCGTAATGTGGACGTCATGATCGTGTCATGATCCACCAAAAAGCTTACCTGACATGGTCTAGGCGGCACTCCAACGGGCGTGGCTACATATCCTTCCCACTGAGTGAGCTCCAACATAACACGCAACAACACTGGAGGGACACAGGAAAGACCAGACCACGAATACGATGCGGAACACTGCAATTGATGAATTTATCGGCTCATTTTATCCGTTATAATGAGGATCAGTGAATGGTGACTTGAACAAACTCTTGAATTAACAGGCTCTCCACGTCAAACGCGTTCCTGAAGCCAACAAACAGGAGGCTGCTTTCGACAGATGCACTCGTTTGCGTACATGGGAGACCCATCTGAATCTCTCGTTTATGATGTTCTTCAGTTGAATATCCTGCACAAAGTTCGCCTCATGATTCAGCTGGTACGATATTCCAAATATTGCAACATCGTTTCATAAAGCAAACGATTCACAAGATTGCTGAAAGCTCTTCGACAGCCCACGACCAGTTTCGCCCTTGTTGTCGAACTTGGTGCAATTTGGGCCCATGTACAACGTAAATTTGATAAAAACTCGGGACTGCGTTTACCTGATGAGCCCCAAGATGGGCGAGACCGGTCCTGGGCTGCCGAACAGTTTTGGCATCCTTGTGAGTTGCTTCCTCTGGGATGTTACTTTGTGTGCGACATGTGACATGAGGTTCCAATAAGTCTCCCAACATCGATGTCCGTTCAAGTTGAAATGTTTTCGAACTCCTTCCACCCGGACCTCTCGAAACTGGTTGAGGGTGAGGGGAGAGACCGGTCCGCTTCCTGGAAGACCACAACGAAACATAAACCGGAAACGGACCAACTGTAGACAGACCTGAAGCATCCTAAAGCAGCCATCCAACAAGCCAATGGAATAAGAGGTATGCAGACTACGACGCAGCAAAAATCACGGTTGGTCCTACATTAATGCAACGTAGGATATATACCAACTGGCCTATCACATGACGGGATATTAGATCTCTTCAAAAACTACATAAACGCAACTAGGCCCACTCAACTGCGCACTGGCGATGTCTCGAGAGGGGACGAAACGTTTGCAAGTCATTTCCAAGCTCGGAGAACAGATTAACCGCCATCTGATCAACCACCAGACAGGATAACTGGGTTGCTGTCACGCTGCTCACTAAAGTTGACTTCTGTCCGGCCTGTTTGGATGCGTTCTGTGTATCCGGTCGGATGCGATTTGGTCTTCATCGTCATTTGGAATGACTACGTTTTATGCCCTTATTCATCGTGCTTGCAATGCATTTTACAATTCGTTCCTTCGCACACAAAAACTTTCTGTTGTACTATACCTGCTTCGTATCTTATTCTGTTTTTTTTCGTTTTAGATTTCCTGTATCCAAGCACAAGTTCCTGGTTGTTCTGTGAATGAGGCCCGGGAAGCTCTCGCCTACCTCACAAACCCGTTCTTTTCCGTTAACCCTTATCTCCACATCCCACCCATTCCTTCAGCTCCTTTTTACCAGCCATCCGTCGGATCTCCCACCTATGAGCTCCTCACCCAACAGACTGTATGTCGCATCCAGTTGGCTGTGCGCCTACTTTCAGCCAGCCGTCTCTATCAGTTAGGCTTAGTCGATTGGGACACTTGTTGTCGAATACTGAGTGCTTTCCATTGGAGTATGACGACCGCGGCTGATTGGCTAATCGAACATCACCAGATATCGTGTGACAAACGAACAAATTCCCTGTAAGATATTATCGCTTGCGGACTGTGATCTGCTCTGTTGCGTCCTCCCCCCACTAGTGACATAGGCTTCGCTGGATCGCGCCACATTGTTTCTAAGATGTAGCCTAGATTTTTCTCTCTCATATTCTGTCATCGTTTCTTTTCGTTCCGTCTTTTTTCTGATTCCAAAGCCGTGTATCATAATCCTCATGTGTTGGGGACTTTGTGTTCTGTAGGAGTTATCACGTTGATTTTAACCAGATTTGCCCCCCCCCATCCACTCCCCGTTTTTTTGCTCTAGTCAGCCATGCTACCACCCATTCATGCCGCTTTGTTCACCAACAACGGATCATGAAACTGTTGCTTTCCACATAAAATTCGTCGAACTCCGTCGATTGTGTCCGTTTTATTTAATTTATCTTTCACTCATTTGTTCGATTTGGTTTTGCACGACCCGGTCTCCCACGTTCGGCCATTTGTGACCAGTGTCGTGTGGGATAGCTTCAATCTTTTCGAGGGATCTCACTTCTTTCCGCACAAACTTCAATTTACAACCTAATTGATACATTATAACCGTCCGAATAGAAATTACACTGAAACCCGCTCAGGTGGCAAACCTTCACTAGTGTACACACACCTTGATGGGACTTCTTCATTTTTAGCTAAACTTCTCACAGGAACCCTACCAAGCTGGTGGGCTTCCTGTGTGGTGCTCGATCCCAGCGAGCCTAAGAGCAAACCCGAATGACTCCGTTACGACCTACGCCCGAAACAGCTTGGTCGATCGTTGTGGAAAGCTTCCGATGATAGAGCACTGAATGACGCTACTCATTCGCATTAAGTGAGCAAACCCGTGTAAATGTTCGTCTTTTTGAGTGAAACGGAGATGCAGAACGTTTGTAATGCCCATTCGGGTTGGCAGTATACACGGTTAGGCCTCAATGTGCAACATGAGAAGCTGGAATAGCCACTTAGACCAACTCCCGGGTATCAGATGTTGGAAATCGGGGTCAAGCTTCTAATTTCTGGTTTCTATGACGACCTCGACCGGGCGCCACACCGTCCACGCTACAGCGGAAATGTGGGAAGCTTGCTGGAGTCACGGAACCTCCTTGCGGTTCGCAATTTAACACCTTAAACCCGTAACTCGTTCGCGGTGGTGCGCTACATCTCTTTGGGACTGCCTGGAGTTGTCGAAATCCTTGGCTCCTGCCCCAGACATTGTTGTCCGAGGGTATTAAACGCGGAGCAGTCCATTGGCTTGCGCGGGTGAATTGATTAGGCTACTGTCTAAGCGGTTTAATTGAGGAGCAGTGTCTCATTTTCCTACTATCTGGGCAGACTAGTGGCCTACAAAATCACAGAATACAATGTTGGGAACATTAGCCGTTTTCTTAGCGTCTTTTTGGTCCTGGAACAAATTCTTGACTTTTGTGGAGGCATGTGAACTGAACCGAAGTAGTGGGGTCACGATTGAACTTTGAGTTTCGCCAAACTGAGGCTGAAGAACCTGGCTAGCTGAATGGGAGTTTTACAGAGCGCTGGTGCGAGGAGAGCCCTTGGCCGTGAAGTTGTTTAATAGCAAACAGCAACTAAATAGCTGCAAACTATTGGACAGGATCGTAAACGTCTCCAATGCCCCTTTCTCAAAAAAATGACTGTTCTCACGCGTCTACTTAAGCTTCCGCGCATATTCACTGACTATCACGCAATTGTAAACGAACGCTGCACAGTAGTTCCACAAGTTCCGTAATAAACCTCACCTTCGATTAGACGCGAGGCGGAGTTACGAGAAATGCACACGCTACTCATATCCTCATCAGTGGTATCCGCAGGCAAATTTACATGCCTCCCACACAATCTACCTGCAGAACCGAGCTTGTAATAGTAACAAAATAGCTGGAAGCCGTCTTAGGGGGATATCGAGATTTTGGAGCAGCAGCTGTTCGCAGTGAACGAAAGGTGGTGAGGTCGAAGGGCTCTTCAAAGGTTGAATCTACCCAATCGGTTGGGAGAGCCTTGTGTTCGCCGCCGTTCGGTATCCTTATCGTCACAGTGTTGAGCCCTAAAGGTCTTGATATGCGAAATATGAAAGAGTGCGAATCACACCGGATTCATTGATAAGTGCCTCTTGCCAGAGAGTAAGCGCGAAGGTAGAATTCGGTTGTGACTGTGCACATCCGGGCTACTATATCGGACACCAGCTGCTTGTGTTGTGGAGTGCGACATCTCGTCTAAACTTCTGGTTGTAGACTTGCTGGTTTTAAAGTCAGAAAATCCAGCTGTGGACCTCCTCATTTGGTGAGCTGGGTCTTTACCAACATCTATATCAGGAACGGGTCACACAAACTGATTGTTTTGGTCGTGGGTGGGGACGTCAAACACGATGTGACAGGGAAAAGTGGAGATAACTGACGGCGCTTTTGACATCAGTAGTGAAATCTTTTGCTCCTCTGTACACAGCAAGCACGTTTTGACTTTTACAGAGCAGAAAGCGAATAAATGTCTTCCGAGGTAGGCAGAAAAACCAGCCAAGTTTGTGTACGAAGGCGTGTGGACTGTATTCAAACATGAACAAACATCAGTGGGAGGTGAATGTAAGATCCGGACGGTTAAGGATCTCACAGGACGATTGCGACTATTAGATTATACGCAGTTCGTAGCCAGTAGTCAATAGGAACAGACAGACGTGGGGCAGCAGATGATATATTGAAGACTGACAGGAGCTGGTTAATCGACAATGACGCAATCAGCAGGAGCGGGAAGTAGTCACTGTCACAGCACGGATTTATATAGGGGCAGTCTGACAGTGTGAGTTGGCCGTGACGGCGCAGGAGTCAGTACGTTCGGAATGTGAGGGACTGTATTTCGGTCGGCGTCGACGCAGCCGCTCGTGTTGCGCGACAGGTCAGATTACGCGGTTTCGTCCTTTCAAAACAAAGCTCAGCAAAGGCTATCTGGCGGGCGTGATAGATGGGTAATACAAAATAGTCAGCCATGTTAGGTGTCAGGTTAGTGTAGTCAGTGACGCGTTCACCTGCTGTCCGCAGGCTCTGGGTTCCATACCCGGTCGGCGCGCTTTTCGGTCGGAGTGGACGCTCGTGAATAGGTGCAATCCAGACGAACTTG